AAGACAGAAGGAAGTTGGGCAGTGATAAAGAACCATGGAATGCTGTAGCTGGGAACTGAAAGGTCACCTAGCCTTATCCCCCCTCATTTTACAGATGTGAAAACTGAGGCCCAAAGATGGAAAGGAAATAGTGACAGGACTAGATGAAACCAAGTCTGCTAAATCTGAGTGCAATGGACAAAGTGTGATCTCTCCCCTTTCTATTTTTAAGAAGAGAGCAAAATAAATACACAAGTCAATAAGCATTTTTTAAGCTTTTGCTATGTGCCAGGCACTGTGTTAAGTGTTGGGGTACAAAGAAAAGACAAAAAACTGTCTCTGCTTTCATAGCTCACAATCTAATGGGGGAAACTGTGCTAATGGGATATACAAGACAAAATAAAGATGGGATAAATGGGAGATAATCTCAGAAGAAGGGCATTAAGATTAAGGAGGACTGGGGAAGGCTTCGTGCAGAAGGTGTAGCTTCAGCTGAGACCGGGACGAAGCTACAGAAGCCGAGAGGCATTTATGAGGAAGGACAGATTTCCAGGCATGAATGCCCAGAGCTGGAACACAGCACACTGTATAGAAACACAGCAAGGCAATGTCACTGGATTCTGGAGGAGATGGTTGGGAAAGGCGTGGGAAGCCTAGAAAGGTGGCAAGGCTAGATTATGAAGGGCTTTGAAAGCCAAACGGGATTTTCTATTGGGTATGTTTACATCAGTGTGGACATGTACCACACTGTCAAGGGAGAAGGAGGCAGCATGTGCAGATGGCCAGGGAGTAAGACCGGTCTCTGGACATACTTGACTGAGCACAACGACATCCAGAATGACCATGCACCTGGATACTTCAATGATACATGCAGTGGCCATCATTAGTCATCTGCTAAAGGCAGAAAACAGCCTAAGAGACTAATTCAAGGGTGATACTAGGGTAATGTGGTAAAAAAAAATGAAGGGAAGCTCTAGGTTGTTGTTGTTGTTGTTGTTGTTTTTTCTAATGGAAACAAGACAAACACAATAATGAAAAAGAAGGCACTACAGACCACATAATTAGAGCCAGACCTAGTTGGCTCTACCCCTCCAAACCCATCTGAAAAGGTCATTTAAAACGTGTTGGCAAAACTTTTAGCAAGAATGAACACTATTCAGTCATGTCTGCCTAGACAGCTAAAAGGCATTCTACATACAGTCTTTTTTGTTAGAAGCCGGTAAAGTAGTTTTGAAAGAAATTAGAAAAAAAGTTAGGTCACGAAAAATGAAACCATTGAAGTATCAATACTAGTTAATGCCTCTAATTTTAACAAGGAGGCAGAATGTATTTTTACTTCTAACATAAAGAGTAGGACCAAACGAGAAGCAAGTAAACACTTTACAATCACTCTTAGAACAAGAAAAAAATTTGAAATTAAAATAGTAAGATTAGATCAGATTTGCCATTATTTTGGAACAAGGGGAAGAGAAGGAGAATATTTGGCTAACATAGTAATTTCAAAGTGCACAAGGCAAGAAGCAGACCTTTAAATTACTCTCTCTAAATCACCATTTCTTCTATTCACAGTTACTCAAGCATAAGGATCTTGAAATTAGAAACTGTCCCAAACGTGAACAGAAGGGACGTGCTGGGCCATCCATGGAGATCAATTTTCTTAGGGACACAGAAATGGTGCCAGGAAGCACCACGGCCATTCTTGGAGGCTGAATAGGAAATGCAAGGAATACCAGAGTGACCACGCCCACCATGGTCTCTCCTCTTACAGCTGAGGCTATGGGAGGGGAATTCTGCTCCTACTATATCAGTTCTCTCCAGCTCATGACCATCAGAGATGTGTATTACTACCCTGCAAAGGGTTAACACTTATCTATGCCTTTAAGTTTGCAAAATGCATCACCTTATCATTTGCTCCACATAACAACTGTCTAATCTACATAAGTGCTATTATTATCCTCACTTTACAAATGAAGAAACTGAGGCCAAAAGAAGTTAACTGACACGCCCAAGGTCACATAGCTATTAAGTATCAGAAGCAGGGTTCAAACTCAGGACTACCTTGAAGTCCAGTATTCTCACAGACAATCAGGTCCAGTGTTCTTTCAGGCAGCTAGATGGCATAGATAGAGCTCTGGACTTGGTGTCAGGAAGACCTGAGTTCAAATCCAGCCTCGGACACTTGCTAGATGTGACCTTCCTTGGACAAGTCCCTTACCTTGTTTGCCTCAGTTTCTTCAACTGTAAAATGGGAATAATAATAGCATTTACCTCTCATGGTTTCTGTGATGATCAAATGAGATCATATTTGTAAAGAGCTTAGCAGAGTACCTAGCACATAGTCTTTGTTGTTGTTCAGTCATTTCTGTTTTGTCTGACTCTTCATGACCCCATTTGAGGGTTTCTTGGCAAAGATACTGATGTGGTTTGCCATTTCCTTCTCTACCTGGTATACAGCAGGTGCTATATAAATGTAGCTCTATCTATCCACCATGCCATAGTTGACTACTGCTAAGCTCCCATCTGAATAACGCTTGGCAATGGATGATCTCATTTGGTCTTCACAATGACCCTGTGAAGTAATGAAATATATTATTTTCCTTCTTTACAGAAGAGGAAACTGAGGTGCAAAGATTTGCCTGAGGTTGGGTGAGAGAACCAGGACCAAAAGCTAAGTCTCTTGACTCCAAATTCTGTGCTCTTCTCAGTAGACCACACTGCCTTCGGAGGTATCAGAGTATCCCCAAGCCATTCAATCCTAAGCACCACAAGAACGTCAATCACGTTATTAATTTTTTTTTTTTGGTTAGGCAATGGGGTTAAGTGACTTGCCCAGGGTCACACAGCTAGTAAGTGTTATGTGTCTGAGGCCAGATTTGAACTCAGGTCCTCCTGACTCCAGGGCCGGTGCTCTATCCACTACACCACCTAGCTGCCCCATTATTAATTTTTTTTAAAAAATCGAGCACCAATATACATAAACTACCAGAAAGGGCTGGAAGCAACATGGTCTAGGTGAAGGAAAATTAATTTGGAGTCAGAGAACCTAGGTTTGAATCCCAGCTGTTACTTCATACTCAATAACATATGGATGTCATGGAACCTTCTGGATTCATAATTTCCTAGAAATATTTCATATAAATTTCCTAATTTCCTAAAAATAGTTAAGCTCTACAAAATGAAAGGGCTGGATTCAATGATCTAAGCCTCTTTCCAGCTTTAAATCAATGCTTCAATGAGACTGTGTCACAGAGTCTTAGTGAGAGAAGGGACCTCAGCAGTCATCCACTTTAACTCTTGCCCAAATCATTCATCTCATCTCCAATTTCTCTGACAAGTGGCCGCTCGATGTCTGTTTAAAGACCTCCAACACCAGAGAAGTCACTATTTTCCAAAGGAAGCTTATCAACTAAGACATAGGTAAACAGTGAAGGCATTTTAAAAGTTTACCTGTTTGTCGGACTTTCCACCTTTTTTCTTTTTTTAAGTGAGGAAGATCATAATTTACCCAACTAAACTATCATAGTAGCCTCTTAATAGGTATTCCTTGTCTGCCTACACTCTTACCCCCCTAAACTACCCTTCACATCACTGACAGACTAATTTTCCTTGGACGTAAGTCACATTATGGCACTGTCCACGTTCAATGGCTTTCTGCTGAGTAAAGTTCAGACATATTTAGCATTCAAGATCCTCTACCATCTCATGAATCATCTTTCCTTTCCAACCTTATCTAAGACCTCTTTCCCTTTATGTATACTGCACTCCAGCCACACCAGGTTTTCTGCCTACCTTATGTTCTCTTTTCTTCCCCTTACGGCTCTCTATGCTACTTCTCATGCTTAGAATGCTTAATCTTGCCATTTTTACCCATTCTTTTTTTTTTTAATTTAAAAAAAATTTTTCCTATCTCCTCCAGTAAGCATTCCTTGATTATTCTATCAGTAAAACCTTCTCCTCTTGGACATCACAAAACACTATGATTTGTACTCTCTCAATAGCACTTAAGTATGGCTATTTGTTATACTAATCAAAGTCAGGGCCTCATCTCTCCCTACTATGTCCTAAACTCCATGAAGGAATGATTTCTCATGCCATTTCCTTCATTTTCTAGCAGAGTACTCCTGCCATGGAAGATACTTTAATAAATGTTTGCTGAATTTAACAACAGACGTGGTACATGCAAGACTGGAAGAGGCTAGAGAATGGCTTGGAAACCAATGGATTCAAATGTGTTAGATTAAAGAGATGCTTTACTTCTCCTTGGAAGCTTCAGGTCTGTTGTCATTTATTTGGACTACTGTGGTCCAGAGTTCAGGGGGTCCATGAACTATATCACAATTTAAAAAAAACTATTTTGATACCTTAATTTCAATATAATCAGTTTTCCTTGTAATCTTGTGTATTTTATGTTTTAAAAACCTTATTCCAAGCTAGTTCCAGACTGCCAAAGTGGTCTGTGACAAAATCCAGGCTCAGGAGTCCTGCTCTAGGTGAATCAGGTTGAGGAGGGCAGGCTGGTTTGTGAAGGGAGCATGCATTTTCAAACTCAGTTGAAAAAACCCTGTTCCACCATGGAGAGTCTAAGAGTGAGTAGAAATTCTCTTTGGGCATACTGACTCTTGCAGTCAGTAAGCACGCCAGGGCTTAACCTGCCTCTTAAATCTGCTGTTCCTATAGGTTACCATACAGAGTTGACCATAATGTTAGCTTTCTTTGTGGAAGAAGGAAAAAAAAAAATATATATATATATATACACACACACACACATATATATGTATGTATGTATATGTACACGTATAATTATGTATATGTATACGTGAGTAATTACATGTGTATATGCATATATGTATGGTGTAATGATATGTGTGTGTGTGTGTGTGTGTGTGTGTGTGTAGAAATCTTTAAATAGAAAACACCTCCTATCCATGAATGTAATAAGTTTAGCAGGAAAGAGAAACATGTTCATTTTGTGAAATCCAAGTTCTCCCCTTCAGACTCATAAAGGCATGCAGGTAACTCACCTGGTCAAAGAGTTGCTTCCCAGTAGTGTTGGGCTGGATGGCAAACTCCAGCTCTGCATCCATGGTAGTAACACGGACATTGATCTGAAATACAAACCAGAGAAAAGTACATTAACCAAGGACTTGATTTTCAGCCCACCCCTGGCCTTCGATAAAGGTTTGGTGGAGGTGTTTGACACTACCACAGCAGTGCTATGCCCTTCCCAAACATCTATCTTCAATATAAATTACAAAACGTATCCAGAAATCGCACTAAGACACTTGATGATGATAATACCAAGTTGGCACACACACAAAGTTTGGACTCCAAGTTGCCATCACTTCACTCTAAGAAAACACATTCATAGCTAGACCAAAGCTGCTTTTCCAAAAACTGATTAAAAAGTCTGAAAGCAGAGGTTAATAAAGCATTGTTTCTTTTCCTGGAACCACCCAGGGAGCAAATTAATTTAGAAAAATGACTTGTCTAGACAAGTTTGGAAGCTCAGTTTCTCTAACTTGAAGCAGATCCCACCACTCAGTTTTGGCAGTTGATTGGGTAATTTTAATCCTGTGTACTCTGAACAAAGGTTGCTAAGGAGGGGAGGGGGAGCAAGTGTGCAGTTTCTATGGGTTTGGGGCCCTCAGAACTAAAGCAAGGCTCAATTTCAGTTTCCATTTATGAGGTCACTAATTTTTTTTTTCCAGGCTAAAAGGCCTTAATGCAACAGTCTCTGAGCCAGTCAGTCAACAAGCATTATTAAGTGCCCACTATGAATCTGGCACCATGTAAGTGGACAGAGAGACAAAGAAAGGCAAAAGTAGAGTCCCAACCTTCAAGGAGCTCACATCTGAATAACTAGGAACATGTAAGACATATACCAGAGTTCTCAGAGGAGGAGGCTTCCTACATGGTAGGGACAGTGATTTAGCTCAACTGGATCCACTGCTCCTTGATGACAACCTGGGGACCAAATGGTGGTTCTCAATTCAACTCAATGCTTATTTAAGAGCCTACTCTATTCAAGATTCTGTATTAAATGCTGGAAATAAAAGGGCAAATACTCCTTGCTCACAAGGAGTTGACATTCTCAAGTCTCACATTTCTGAGCATTGAAAGATAATTTTTTCCACACATTAAGGAAAATAGAATTACTGTAAATAGGGGTTTTAAGTTGTGTTCCCTTATAACTCTCTGTTGTTCTTGTTACACATAGAAAAAAAGTATGAGGTAAGCCAGACTTCCTCTAATGTTTCTTTTCCTATCTGAAGCCCACAATTCAAACAGCATACCAAAATTTATTAGCAAGCAAAACTAGACAAATTTTTAAACATTTCAATGGATTACAGTTGGAATTCTGAGTTTTTTTCACTGCAAACTGATGGTGACTTAATAAAACAGCTGCAAAATGTCTGTCTAGAAGCCGTAAGAAAGCAGGTTTCTCCCTTTTGATTACATTTCTAAGGGTACACATGAGAATGGAAAGACCAGCCCCAAAGTCAAATACTGCAATAACAAAAGTAGTCTCCAGATTATGCATAACATCATAAACCAAGAGTGACAGATTATAGGTTGCACCTAACAGAATTTTCCCGTTTCTTTCCCTATGCCATTCCCTCTGTCCCTGTCATGGAACCAGACACTAGGTTAACAAATAATTAGCCAAATTTAGAGGAATCAGAAAGGGACAGAATAATAAAAAGGGCCAATCCTCATCTGGTCATTTGAACATGGGGCCAGGGATAAATTGTTCCCGAGTTGGACAAAGATTTAAAAAGTGCTGGTGTATGTATATCTGAGTGTACAGAAAATTTCGTGTCTCGGGGGCTTTTTTTTGGAAAAGGAAATAATCCTAGTAGACTTTCACCAAAGTTGAAATGACAACTAACCCCCAAACTTGTGGTTATAAAGTAAATTGTTAAAAAAAATGAATTTAATGTCAAGGTCAGTCAAGCCTTTATCTCCACTTGTAACACAAGGAAGTAAATCACTGGTTTCCATCACATGAGAGTTAACCAAGGACTTAATTTGAGATTGAAATACCAGTAGATGTAAAATTACCCTAAGCAATTTGTCAGAACTGAGATCAACACTAGACAGATCCTGGATTTTAATGTCCCATTTTTATTTGCTTGTAATGGTTTAGTGGGGTCTGCTCATCTTAGGTTCCTTAAGCTACAGACCCCCTAATAAGGATGAATATCTAATTCTAATTAGTAAGACCCCATTTTCGGGGGTCATTTCAATACCCAAATTGGCACTAGCAGAAGTGAACATACTTTAATTACTCTAGGATTCATTACAGTGCATTAGCTCTGATTTTCTAAAATATATACACTGATGAATATAACATATGTCATATCAAAAACACTAAACAGGTCTACAGAGATGCCTTTCCAGTCTTATTTTGTATTACTCTCCTACACCCACTCTTGGTTCCAGTCAAAATGGCCTACAAGTTGATGTCCCCTTTCTCCTCCCCAATCCTACATTCCATCTCTTGTTTCCATTCCTTTTTTGTGGAGGCACCCAGCCAGCCTTCATTATTCTCCCAGCCCTGTTCCAGGTGTCTGAACTTTGAAACCATGCTTCCAACCTGGCTATCTTCAACTCTACTACTCACTACGCCTTTTTTTCTCCCCCTTTTCATATATTATCTCCCCCCACTAGAATGCAAGCTCTTGAAGGGCAAGGATTTTCTTTTTGTTTGCATATCAATATATATATACAGATCTACATATACATAGCTACAAAGACATATCTATATGCAAGCAAAAACAAAGATTTATATATATAGATCTCTCTCTTACACACACACACACACACACACACACACACACACACACACACACACCCCATCCCCAGCATGTAGCACAGTGCTTGGCACATAGTAAATGTTTAATAAATGCATATTTCCTTCCTTCCATGACTTTGCATGGGCTGTCGCTCATTTCTGAAATGGGCTTTCACCTCATTTCTAATGCTTAGAACCCCAGTTTTCTTCAAAGCACACTCAGGTGGGTACCAGGTACTATAAGAAACCTTTCCTAACCTTCCCCCAAACTTCAAATTCTTTTGCATATCCTCAGCTGCAAACCTATTATTACCTCTGCCTCTCAAACCCCCTCCCCCATAGTTCTTTCCATGTACACTGTTATGTATATATTCACCACAATGTACAATATGTATATTGTTGGCTCTGCTTGCTTCATTTGGCTAAAATTACCCTTTTTCACTGGACTCAGTGTCTTTGATCTAACACTTACATTATCACAGTTCTGGGAAATAAAAGAATTCAAAATGGGAAGACTTGCACCACCAAATGTGAGTAATCTAATAAAAAAAATTGAGGACCCACAGATTTTTTAAAATTGTTTAGCTATTATAGCTGGTTGCAGGTCATGGTGAAGAGGCCGGTAACCTTCACCCTATTTCCCTGCCATAGATCTGACAACCAACCTGAGTTAGCTACCATCTGACTGACAGACTCGTGCTGGTCAAAGGGACTAGGAAACTGGATGAATAAATGCTAATTCACTGTTGCTTTTGTTAAAAAACAAAGTAAGAACTCTGAGCTCAATCCTATTAGCGAAAAATTGTGATCCTGAGTCAGTGACCTCTGACCACTTGCCAACATTTTGCAAGCCACAGATCTTTTATACCTATAAAATATTAAGAATAAATTTAACCTATAGAAAAATGCTAATAAAATAAAATAAAATAAAATATTCATAAAGCCAAAAACAAGTAACCTTGTTTCATAAAAAGGCTGATTAAACCTGATGTAGGGAAATCTTTTTAAAAAAAAAAAAAAAGCAATCTGAGGGGCAGCTAGGTGCCACACTGGATAGAGCTCTGGCCTTGGAGTCAGGAGGACCTGAGTACAAATCCAGCCTCAGACACTTGACATTTACTAGCTGTATGACCCTGGGCAAGTCACTTAACCCCAATCGCCTCACCAAAAAAAAAAAAAGCAAAAAAAAAATTAAAAAATTTTTAAAAAGCAAACTGGAGAAAAGTTATTAAAATGTTCCTATCTTTTGACCCAGCAGTCTCTGAATAGCTACACCAAAGAGGCAAAAATAATGCCTCAAATATGCCAAAAATAAAAACAAATGGGTGGGCCTTCAAATGGAAAGTGGCTGAAAAAAGACACAAGCATGCAATGAAATACCACGTCATAAGAAACAACAAAATGGGCAGTGTTCCAAGTAACATGGTAAGACTTGCATGAACTTAAACAATTCTGCAAACTCTTTGAGGGCAGGAAGAGTTTCATTTTTTGACTCTGTACATCCTCAGTGCATGGTATAATCACTGACACACAGTAGGTGCTTAAGAAAAGCTGACTTAGGGAAGGAGAAATTTTAGAACTCAATCTCATGGAAGTGAATGTTGAAAACTAAAAATTAATTAATTAATTAAAAAAAAAGAAAAGCTTACTGAATCGAACTGAATGAATCCAAATCAAAGAAAACAAAACTTTATAACAAAATACATAGTGACTACCACAAGATAAATGAAAAGAATCAAAGCCACTGGCTCCAGAGGTAAAATGATGAAACAAACTTTCCTCCTCTCACTAGAGGCATGTATACAAGTACAGCTTGTTCCGTAGTCTGTCAGATCAGGCCACAAAGTTTCTGTCCTGAATAGTTTGATTTTGTTTAACTGTTATGACTATAATAGTGTAAGAAACAAACAAATAAACAAAAAAGACCTTTAACTCTTCCCCCCCACACACACCAAGAGAAAATCTCAAACACCTAAACTTGAAAGTTAGTAATGATTATTGAAAACTATATTCTAGTATGAATGAGAAGCCCAAACTAGGCCATATGACATAAACCCTCCTCATAAACAATTTTCAGCTGAAAGCTTGAATTACTAACTGCTCTAAATTGAGACACATTGACCCGGAAGGAAAAAAAGAGCACTGAATTTGGAATAATGTGGACACTAGTTCAAGTTCTGGCCTTGCCACTTACTACTACTCACCTGCGTGACCTGGGCCTGTTTCCTCATCCTTAAAATGGAGAGACTGGATTCTATAGTCCAAGACACCTTCCTTCCAGTTCTAGATATCTATGACCTAGTCGGACAT